ATACATACATCCTTGTGCGCACATCCTACACGCGGCGGAAAGACGTGATAGTGGGAAAGTTTGAAGGGAAGTTCAACAACAGAAAAAAAGCCACACGGGAGATACTGTGTTATCAGAACCAGTCTTTCCCGACAGTTTTTAAGAGCCAGTATCGTTTTACATGTATGCCTGCCTCCTAAGTGGTCTAATTTGTGTCGACGAGGGGCAGAAAAATCTTCTGTATTAAAAAATATTATATGATATATCGTTTGTATGGATTTTCCCCCAAAGCAAAGCAAGGCGTCGGTAACCTTGTGGTTAGGCTGCCGAACTCGTAGCGTGAGCTTGCGGGTTCGGGGTTCGAACCTCAGCTCGGTCCGACGTTGTGTCCCTGGGAAAGACACTTTACACGAATTTCCCACTTGACGCGGTCCTTTCGGAGATGGACGTTAAACTCGATGGTGTCACCTCCTAAATAACCTAACAAAACAGTGTTGATAGGGGTGTTCAACCGATGCCGTATTTCACCATTTCAAAGCAAAGCAAAACGTGGGGATGGTTGGTAGGTACTCTGGTTTGGTTTGCTCCTCCTTTTTCCCCCCGTGTTTTCTTTGTAGTATCACCTCTAGTCTTCTGCACTTATATTACCTTTTTGTGTTGAAAATGCCATACTTTTACAAAAACTGAATGACCTAAAATGAAACCGAAGCACCAGCGTTACGAAGTAGTCGTGACGACATTTCGTCGGCGAAAATCCCCACGTTTGACTATATCGTAAGCCAAAAGTAATCTGTCTCACTGGGGTGTCGTGTACTGTATGTTATGAATATTATAGATTTCCAGTTGTTTTGTTTTAGTCGGTGAGAGAAGAGAGAAGTGGATTTATAATGTAAACCTAACTAGTCTATCCTAGTGTCTCTGTCTCTTCCCACCGCCGTGGTCTGAGTGGCTGCTGTACTGTACACTGGTGACGCCCTGTGTAGCTGCAGATCCGGACACGTCGGCCGGCCGCCACCTTTGTCGCGTCGCTGATTGGTCCAGGAAATCACGGGGGATTGTGGTTATATTTTTGTAGGTTTATCCCCAATCATGCAGATCTCGTTTTATACAGTGCTGCGCTAACGAAGTTATTTTTACTATATATTTAATGTGGTTATTAATTTTTTTTTTAACGAATTAATTAATTTTTAATTA